TGGCGAGTACATCACTCACCTTCGATTTGCCGACGATATAGTCCTTATGGCAGAATCGCTGGAGGACCTTAGCACTATCTACAATAACCTCAATAGTGTCTCCCAACGGATAGGTCTTAAGATGAACATGGACAAAACAAAGATCATGTTTAATGTCCATGTCACACCTATGCCGGTAGTTGTTGGGAGCACTATGCTCGAAGTTGTTGACGAGTACGTTTACCTGGGACAAATAGACTGACTAGGTAAGTCCAACTTCGACCGATAGGTCAATCGACGGATTCAACTCGGCTGGGCAGCGTTCGGGAAATTACGACACATCTTCTCCTCAGGTATACCTCAATCTCTGAAAACTAAAGTGTACAACCAGTGCGTGTTGCCAGTGATGACTAACGGGTCTGAGACGTGGTCCTTCACTGCTGGCCGTGTGAGGACGCTCAAGGTCGTTCAGCGGGCTATGGAGAGGGCTATGCTCGGAGTTTCTCTGCGTGATAGACTCAGAAATGAGGATATCCGCAGTAAAACCAGAGTGACCGATATAGCCCAACGGATTAGTAAGCTGAAGTGGCAATTGGGCCGGCTATATAGCTCGAAGAACCGATAACCGATGGGGAAGAAAGGTTCTCGAGTGGCAGCCTCGTACCGGTAGGCGTAGTGTAGGGCGACCCCCCACTAGATGGAGTGACGACCTGGTAAGACATGCAGGAAGTCGATGGATGCAGGTGGCTCAGGACCGTGCTTTGTGGCGTTACTCGGGGGAGGCCTGCGTTCAGCAGTGGACTTGTGAAGGGCTGTAATGATGATGATGATGATGATGAAAGTTGGTAAGAATTACCTCGCACATATCCGCTCAATTTGAAGAGCACCTCCCGCCCTATCTCAATTGCGTGCACTAAACCTCCCACCACTACACTAGAAAAGACACACCATCGACGATAATACTACATATGTTGCGCCCTTTGAGTATTCAAACATACTCAAAGGTTTTGCCTTTACAAGAGGCGAATGCCTCGTGTGTGGAGAGCGGGAGGTTATCTTCAAACTAGGTAGAGCACATCATTTTATTTTATTGAGCGGATATGTGAGAGGTAATTCGTACCAACATTATTTATCATTTTTATTAGTATTTCAATCGCCTTACCAGTATTGATATTTCTTGGATATTTATATATTTAAATATATATATATATATATATATATATATATATATATATATATTTATATATTTATATATATATATATATATATATATATATATATATATAAACATAAAGAAGCTCAAAAAGAATAAATACATATTATTTTAATACTTTGTTGTTGTTACTATTAGTTGTATTGTTGCAATAATTATTAATAATATAGATTTTATGAAATCAATTTATGATAATTTATATTATTATATTATATATTTCTTAATTATTAATTTGAACTGGCTAATACTCGTAATAATACTCGTAACAATACTCGTAATACTCGTAATACTCGTAATACTCGCAATACTCGCAAAAAAAAACACTCGCTAATACTTAGGAAAACACGACATGTACTCTTATATGAACAGTTGTTAAATGTAATATAAGCAGGGATGCGCGCGTACTGTACTCTTCATTTGTTGGGCGCTGGCAGAATAACAGCGTTGTAGGCAACTGCAACATTTATGCTGAGCTAGAGCCCATTCATTACTATACTATGTAATTCTGGTTATTTCTGTATGTACTGCTCATTGTAACTTTATTGGTGGTAATGAATAAATGTTTTATTATTATTATGTGTGGGGTATCTATATAGTTTTCTCATCTGGTTGGGATGTATAAATATATAATTATAAACGAAAATGAAAGGATAAATATACATAAATATCAATAAAATAAAATAAAATACATAAATAAATAAAAGCCCAACCAGATGGAAGCCCTCGGCAGGGGAGACCAAACGGCCAAGGGTTAGGGGGAAAGGGAAAGAAACCGGCGGACGATGCGGGCAGTATCAAGGAGAACCACTTATTATTATTATGTGGGGTATCTATATAGTTTTCTCATCTGGTTGGGATGTATAAATATACATATAATTATAAACGAAAATGAAAAGATAAATATACATAAATATCAATAAAATAAAATAAATACAAAAATACATAAATAAATAAAAGCCCAACCAGATGGAAGCCCTCGACAGGGGAGACCAAACGGCCAAGGGTTAGGGGGAAAGGGAAAGAAACCGGCGGACGATGCGGGCAGTATCAAGGAGCACCGCCTTCTGCATTTGAGCCCGGAGCGGTCCGTCACGGAGTCCCAGTCGCCTCAGATGACCAGAGAGGCTGACTGGGATTAGCCCATTCGCAGAGACGACTACAGGAATAATTTCGGCCGGCAGACCACCCCACATGTCGGTCACCTCGTGAGCCAGGTCCAGATATTTTGATTGCTTATCTGTTTCGGCTCTCACGAGGTTCTCGTCATACGGGATGGTAATATCGATCAAAAATATCCTTGACTGTGCCCGGTCCATCAGCACAATATCAGGCTTATTCGCAAGAATAGTCCTGTCTGTGATGATGGCCCGGTCCCAGTAGAGCCTGGCGCGGTCATTTTCGAGCACGGCTTCCGGCAAGTACTTGTAATACGGCAATTTCCGGTCCACGAGACCGTATTTCAGAGCGAGCTCCTGGTGTAGAATTCTGGCTACTAGGTTGTGCCTGTGCAAGTACTCAGAGTTAGAAAGCGCCGAACAACCGGAGATGACATGCCTGAGTGACTCCCCGGGATGGCGATTATTATTATTGGGGTATCTGTATAGTTTTCTCATCTGGTTGGTTTCTATAAATATATAATTATAAATTAAAATGAAAAGATAAATATACATAAATATCAATAAAATAAAATAAATACAAAAAAATCCACAAATAAATAAAGATCCAACCAGATGGAAGCCCTCGGCACGGGAGACCAAACGGCCGAGGGTTAGGAGGAAAGGGAAAGAAACCGACGGACGATGCGGGCGGTATCGAGGACCACTGCCTTCTGCATTTGAGCCCGGAGCGGTCCGTCACGGAGTCCCAGTCGCCTCAGATGACCCGAGAGGCTGACTGGGATTAGCCCGTTTGCAGAGACGACTACAGGAATAATTTCGGTCGGCAGACCACCCCACATGTCGGTCACCTCGTGAGCCAGGTCCAGATATTTTGTTTGCTTATCTGTTTCGGCTTTCACGAGGTTCTCGTCATACGGAATGGTAATGTCGACCAAAAATATCCTTGACTGTGCCCGGTCCATCAGCACAATATCAGGCTTATTTGCAAGAATAGTCCTGTCTGTGATGATGGCCCGGTCCCAGTAGAGCCTGGCGCGGTCATTTTCGAGCACGGCTTCCGGCAAGTACTTGTAATACGGCAATTTCCGGTCCACGAGACCGTATTTCAGAGCGAGCGCCTGGTGAAGAATTCTGGCTACTAAGTTGTGCCTGTGCAAGTACTCAGAGTTAGAAAGCGCCGAACAACCGGAGATGACGTGTCTAAGTGACTCCCCGGGATGGCGACAAGCTCGACAGACGTCGACGGTGCCATCCTTTAGGATGTATCTCCGATAGTTGTTGGTCTTAATAACCTGATCCTGTATTGCACAGACAAAACCCTCGGTTTCCCCGAAGAGGTCACCGAAACGTAGCCAGTTGAGGGAGGCGACTGTATCTACGAAGGACTCATGTAGAACCCTGTAGTACCTCCCGTGGAGCTCCTTCTCCTTCCATACGGTCTCCCGGTCGGAAATGCTAAGCACTGCTGGGTCCTGCCATTGCTCGTTGGCCAAGGATAGAGGGGTAAGCCCTTTATCACTAGAAATGACGTCATTATAGAATGGATCATCCGATCTCGCCAGGAAGTAATGACGGAGGCTGCACACTTCACGATTATGCATAGTGAGCGCGCTTAGAAAGCCACGCCCACCATGCTTTCGCGGCAAGTACAGCCTCATTACCGATGATCTCGGATGATGCATCCTATGGGACGTCATGGTAGTGCGGACTTTTCTATCCAGGGCGTTAAGTTCAGTCTGAGTCCACCTGAGTATGCCAAAGGTATACATAAGGACAGGCATGACCCAACCGTTATATGCGTGTGTCTTATTCACACCGGACAAAAGGCTATTAAGCACTTTGGTCAAGCGTGCATAAAACACGTCGCAAACTGACTGTTTCACACCAGCCTCATCGATACCGATGTTCTGTGACATACCCAGGTATCGGTATGTTTCAGCCTCGGAAAGGGTCCTTAAGTTGACGGGCATAGATAAATCTATGCCCTCAGAGTTAGCAACCCTTCCCCTCTCAACATGGAGGACCGCACACTTATCCGTCCCCAGCTCCATTCCAATGGAACTGCTAAACTCACAAGTGATTTTTAGCAATTCCACAAGATGGGAGCGACTGGAGGCGAATAACTTAAGGTCATCCATATAGAAAAGGTGGGTCACTTTTGTCCCTCCTTTCCGTAGCTGAAATCCTCTCCCGGATTCCTCCAGTAAGGTACTGAGAGGGTTCAGGGAGAGGCAGAACCAGATTGGACTCAGACAATCGCCCTGGAAGATACCCTTTCTTATCCTTATGTGGTTCTCCGCAGCCATCATCCGCTCACCCAGATGACAAAGGATCGTACTCCACTGCCCCATACACTGCTCGAGGAAGTCTCTCACTGTACAGTCTATCTTGTACAGCTCGAGGACTCTCTTTAGCCATGTATGGGGCACCGAGTCGAATGCCTTTCTGTAGTCTATCCAGGCGGCGGAGAAGTTCCGACGGTTGCGTTTCACCACTTTGCCAATGACCGCGTCAATGAGGAGTGGTTCCTTAGTTCCACGACCACCGCCCCGACATCCATTTTGAGCGCGTGACATCACCTGATTTAGCTCCAGGTGACGAGTGATTCTCGCGCTCAAAATGGATGTCAGTGTCTTATATATGGTGGGTAGACACGTAATGGGGCGGTATTTGCTCGGGTCTGTGGTAACCTGGTCTTTAGGAACCAAATGAGTGATCCCAGTAGTGAAGAGGCTTGGGAGCGACTTCTGGTTGAGAGCCTCTTGAAACTGACGGGCGAGCACAGCGTGACACACCATGAACCCCTTCAGCCAGTAGTGATGCAGTCCGTCGAGTCCCGGACTTTTCCAGTTCGGGGCTCTACGGACCGCCTCAGCTACGTCATCCGGCGTTATGATGACGGGGTCCATGGGCGTAATACTCGCACACTGACTCGCCACAACTTCCGTCCAAGGGCCCTCGCTGTGGTTTACGGGCTCTGACCACAGGCCACGCCAAAATGCGACAGTGTTAGCCTGATCCGGTCCTGGGCCCGCTCCACATACCTCTGGTCGCTCCAATGATTTGTAGAGCCTCTTCTGATCACTCTGGAAGAGACGATTCTGGTTGAACCGCCTTGACCTCTCGGTAAATCGGCGAATCCGCTTCCCCCAAGCGGCAATCTTTTGCTTCAGGTCGTCTATGCGCTCCGTTAGTTTCTGCGTGATATCCGGCTGGGACAAACTGATATTTGTCCCAGCAAACGCCATTCTAACGGTGCGCACAACCCTCGGTCTATTATTACCCGACCTGAAGCTTATCAGTCTGCCGATAAGGGCCCTTGCCTTTGCGATACGGTCCTCAATTCTTTTTCTCCAGGCTGGGATGGCGCTACTTTGTTTAGTAGCGCGTCCAGCCATGGGAAGTTTGGCGCCAATAATACGGCAAGCTGCCACTGCGGCGCCAAAAAGAACTGAGTCCGTCTCGCAAAAGGTCCCGGCTGGCTTCCAAATAGGTTACCAGCATTGGGTTAAGAGCCCTCACGACAGCCCGATTTCGCTTGCTTAGGGGTATGCGGGGGAATTCGCGGTCGATTTTCGAGAGGCATGCTGCGCGTTTCTAAAATCGCCTCTTCCAATATACTCCTCATTTGCTCTAGTTCGTGGGAGACCATTTCATCATCGTCTGAATCACCCACAACTGGAAGATCCATGGCGGCTTCTACGCGTGGCAGCTGGTCTGTCGCCTGAGGAGCCTCATCCCCAGCCGTAGCCAATTCATTCGATGAGGGAATGGCCTCACGTCGTAGTCGTTCGAGCTCGGCATCATCGAATATTTTCGAGCGCATGATGTACCGAACTCGGTCTGCCAGGTTTTGTTCCGTGACGGGAATAGACGGCTCCAGCTCAGCAAAAAAAGCAATGCATCCGAGCCCGATACGCTATCCCCGCAGTTTCTTCCCCTTTCGCCCTATAGTACGCCCGCATTGCGTTTGCGTTCATATCCCTTGTCCAACGCATGCGGCGCACTCCACCAGCGGCGGATGCCGCTTGCCGAGTCCGAGAGGACCCTGCCGACATCAAGCCGTCTGGTGGGGTTATTATTATTATTATTATTAGAAGCTTTCTTTAACACTTTCCACTAAGGTTAATTGTCTTGCACATATTTTCGTGCTTAATTGCTGTGAGGAATGTTGCACAACAATACGGTCTCATACAAGCAAATAACGTAAGTCTAAAAGCGTGTCTGACGCAGGCTTAAATTGCCCCTATTGTCGAGATTATGAAACATTCTCACGGCCGCTGTATTGTAATGCACAGAGCCCATACATACAAGTAGCTTTGCATCACACCTATTAATATTCAATTTCAATTTTACTATTCAAAAGCTTGTTTGATAATGACCACAGAATTCTGCTTACATTGCAAATGTTTCTATTGCAAAAATTTATTTAATTCTTATTGTGAACTTTTAAAAGTGTTCTAAAGAACTTTAAATGAATGACGATTGCTATAGACAAATAATATAAGCAATTAAAGGCTATTAGACAAGGAAATATTTTTAATCAAAACAATATTATCGTTATGATTTGTAAACTATGTAAATTACCGTATAAAATTGCGCACATGTATTAGATATCTCAATTACTAATAGATATATTTGTGAATATGTGAAACACACGTAATTTTAATGCTTTTCATATTTAATTACATTTCATATACAAAAGAGAAATGCATTTGTCCCGTTTATTTTTTTAGATAGGTGAACACGGTATTTATAAATCAGACGTAAAATATATTAATATTCGGTGATAAATATTATGTGCATATTTTGTATATGCACATGATATTTTTGTACTAATTTGCAACCAAACATAACAGCAGGCCCCACTCCTCCCGATATATTCGGGTTTTGAATCAATCGAATGGTAATTACTAAAGCTTGTACACAAATGAATGGTGACTCGAATTTGAATTCACTTCGATCGAGTATTTTGTAATGGTCGAAAAATTTATAATTTTCAATCGATTAAATCGATAAATAAAAATTAACGATAACATGAAACATATTTTGTTTAGATATTTTGAGATTGATTTTTTTAAAGCTATCTCCACATTAGGATTTTTTTCCTGTATCGTGGTTTACAAAGTTAAATTTTAGAAGGACAAACATTCAGAACAGGAACAATTACTTGTAGGCCATACAAATACATGTTCGATTCAGGATTCGAACCTACGGCCCTTAGCGTTGTAACTCATTGTTAAGCCACTGCGCCACGGAGCCGTCAACTAAACCACCGATTTAATAATTTCGATGAAATTTCATTTACGTCGTAATAGATCGTCTTGCATCTTTGTGAGAAAGCACAACACATAGATATTTGGACAAGAAAATATTTTAAGGATGAGTTGTTTAGGTTTTGTTGTGATTCAAACTCACTTCCGTTTTTGTTGCGCCCCAAGGAATTAAAACTGGAAAGACCTCGTTCTTGTTACGCGAACTTTCTTGAAATGTAAATAAATATCCTTTTAGTAATTCTTGGTCTGTCCTCTGAGAATTAGGCGATATTCCGTTAGTGCGTACGATTCTATCTTTGATATTTAATTCAAAATTATGCGCATGTCAAAAAAATACAGGTTAAAATTACCTTTAAATATAATCTTAAATTCACTTTAAGTTACAAATTATTATTTCATTACATAATTTAAAGGAAGAACTTAATGGATTTGACACTGATGCAATCACCAGGGAGTGCCTAACGGCGGTAATAAAACTCGGCCATAATCGATCTTGTTTTTCGATTAGAATTGGTTCGGGAGCATTCGAAACAAAACAGAGTTCGAATTGAAAATTAAATCGAATTTGAATAATTTTGGGAATTAGGTCGACTGTTATCCGATTCATGAATCCTTAATAAAAATTACTGCTAAAGGAATAACAAATTTACTGAGCACAGACTAATCCTTTTGGATGTCATTGCCTTATTGCAGTTGAGTAAAGTATGAGTTATCTAGACAATACACTTTTATTGAAAAAATACAATGATTCATTCGGTATTTTAATACGTTTAAACATTTTGTTGTTGTTTTCACTATGTACATTATTTTATCAACCTGTAAACTACTCACATTTTCACAAATTTTCCGTAAATGTCACGCTTCACTAATATGATTATCGACCGCAGTATCAAGCCTCTCACATTTCGACGCCACTTTCCGTCCCCAGTAAGGGTTTTTTTGGACATGAGCATACAGTCCACCTATTAATAAGCCGATCTTGTCGTTCATATACTCACTTTTACATTTATTCTCAATTAAGAATCAAGGTGCGTTGCTACCCCTGAGGACTAAGATAGAATACCCCATTTCCAGAAAAAAGTGTCTCCGGGTTATTACACTCACCATAATAAACACAACAGAATTAAGCTACTATTTTACGCTGGTATTCTGTGAGAGCGTGGTCCTCCCCAGTCTGGCCGACCCATTCATGCTACAACCATAACATAGCCAAAGCGAGGCTCTGCCACGTAATAAAATTATGTAATCAGTAAAATACGTAATAAGGTACGTTACACCATACTGTTCAAGATGATTTCACCGCTATTGCAAGCCATGCGATCTTGTCATTTTCCATTTCCGTCGCGTCTTACTTAAACGTATACTCATGGGGTAGGATTGGGTGGATGGACAATCTGAAGCATTTACCACATGACTGTATTTACTGATTTGTTTGAGCTATATTGGCAAATTTTCGATTTGCTCCGACCGCGAATATAGTCACCAATGTTAGGCGATCGCAAATGAATTTTAGTTATAATTTCATAATTGTAGAATACGTTATACGTATTCGAATAGTAGTTCGTTATTTTCATAAGAATGGATGTGTTTTTTTATTGACACACTGAAAACAGGAAAAGTTTTAATTTCTTTTCGTTACACCCGAAAAAATTATTGCCCAATCAAATATTGTTTTAGCGTTTTTTATGGATGTGATAATTAAAGCCTAACCCTCACGAATCTCAAGTTTTATGTCATTCTAATAATTATGCTAAGGTCTGTTTGTACACTTTTTACAAGTACAGTGGTAAACACAGCACGATTCGTCAATGATCAACTATGTCGTGACTAAAAGACGTAAATAGTAGGCACCAATTGGCCTCTTGCAATGGACCTTCGGATAGTAAGTAGTTATTACTATCAATTACTTGGATAGTAAACTTATTGTCGCAGTTAAATCACTTTATATATGTACGATAATATCAAAACGTATTTTTACAAGTAGATAATAGATAGGTGAATCTGTCTGGAAATAGGGTCAATAGAGTGAGTATGATTACGGGGTGCGCGACAATCCACGTTATTCCTCAGAGGCATCTGCAGCCAACTTTATTTGAATCATTTAAAAAAAATCCTTCAGTGTGTTTAAACATTAAAGTTAACCTTTTCATATGTTTTAATTAATATTAATCGTTTTAATATGCATTTTTATTACCTGAATTAATACATAAAAATCTAATTTATGGTTACGGGGCCAAACAAAATGGTATTATCTAATACCTAAAATTTCAATTCAAGCTCAATTTCAGTTTTGTAACTTCCATGTTGGTCAATAATTAAAGTACTTCTTTTAAGTAGATTTTGGTTTTTAATGCTCTTTAACTTTAATTATTTTAGCTAATTTTTCACCGTTAAAATAATACAAGTGGAAAGGACGGATTAACACGAGAAAATCTTCTAAATAGTGGAGGCGTTTTACGAACATAAATTTTACATGGGCAATCCAAACCCCGGACAATTATTTTAGGGCGAAGACTTATACCTTGAAGGAATTTTATACGTGACCAGCAGCATAGTAACAAAACGCTTACCTAGTACGCCGTCAGGCTGGCAGAATAATGCGTGGTTATTATGTTTAAAACACTTTTAGTTTTTCCCTACGTTGAAAAATGCAATAAGTGCACGTAAAAGCCATTTATAAAACAATATATTGGTTCGGCAATTTGTGAACGGCCTGAAGTTATTTCATTTTCGCCTCGAGTTTTCGAACGAATAATTTTTACTAAAAACAGTTTTTGCATGCACTTCGTTTATAACAACAGGGATCGCAACGAATAACGCAAGCGAATCTGACGTATTAGAAATAGTGTGGCAATGGTATGTCTCTGTAGTGTTTGACCGATAAGTATTGAATGCTTCCTTGATCTAGAGGTCGTAATCGCGACTATTCTTGCGGTCGCAGGTTCAAGTCCCAAAATTAACTATTAAGTTTT